AGGCTGCTGCCCCTGCGACCCGGCCCCGGATAAAGCGGATGAAGATGGATGGATGGATAAGGATATGTTTTCAAACCAACTTCATTCTAAGCCAAAGACTAGAAAATATGGTGAAGCCTATCTTCCCTTTGGTTTCAGAGGTAGGTCTCCCCTGCAGAATTGGTTTTCCCTTCGTTGGGAGCAGCGCTGGGCTGTTCAAATCACAGACAAACAGGATCCCACAGTTTTTTATGTTTTTAAACCCATTTTGCACAGAGAGGCATTTTTTGAAAAATGTATTGATAGCAATGTTGAATATTATTACACAGGAAATAAAACAACTACACATAAAATAATCACATTGTGACGCCTCTGCCTTTCTAAATGGAGGGACAGTAACTGCGTGAGTATGTAAGCGTGTAAAACTGAAGATAGAGACAAAATACTGTTAATCTGAATATCTGCCATTCCACAATTCATCTCATGTAAACAATAATGTGATGTGAAAAAAAGGCACATACCTTTGATGTTGCGTGATGAACTCTGTATTCCTCGTCCACACGTAAACGCAAAAAAGGAGTTTTAAAAAAAGTCTCAGTTTTCAGTGATTCCAAACGCCGTTTACGTGTGGACGACACAGTTGCGTTTTCAAAAATACCCGTGTAGGTGCGGACGTAGCGTAAAAGAGTTAGTAGTAGTAGTATTTTATTACTACCTGTAATTTATTGCAGGTTACTTGTATTTGCTTAATTGTTTACTAAATGTTTGAGGTGTGAAATAAACCACAATGGAGCAAAATATGGGTGTTTTTGTCATGTCTGTCAGCTGTCTTTCCCTCCTGTCTCCTGCTTATTGTCGCATCATACCCTCATCCATAGCTGTGTGTTCTGCCTGCCTTGCCTTGTCTAGTTTAAACATTTAATTTAGCAAGTTTTAACAAATAAGACAGAACAAGTGTGTTGTTCTGTCTTATTGGACTGCAAACATCATTGTATTTTCAGAGTATTCTGTCCCAAGTGTCCCAAACCGTCTAAGTTTAAAGAAGGTAGCATTCTCTACACCTGTAATTTCTTCCACTTTTGTAGAAGGACATCTCTTCTAGAGCATAGTGAAAAAAATCATCCTCTCCTTTATAAAGATTTCCCTCACAATTACCTATTGTTGAAAACTTTGACGGTCAGTGTTTTAACCATCTCTTTATGATGGCTTTTTGTTTTCACCATATTTTGTATAAGTGCCAATCCATTTTAATAATCACATCTTTTTTGATTAATTAAGATTAATTAAGATCCGCTTCGCCAGAGGTTGTTTGGTTTCCCCGATGTATAAATCCTGGCAATCCTCCTGGCACTTAACAGCGTTGTGTCGGGGGACCCGATCCTTGGGGTGGACCAGTTTTTGGCGCAGCGTGTTTTGGGGTTTAAAAGACACAGAGACCTGGTGTTTAGAAAAAAATGTGTCTCAGCTGGGATCACTAAGGCTACATTCACACTGCAGGCGAAAGCGCATCAAATCAGATTTTTTTTTAACCTATGCGACCCATATCCGATCACAGTATGACAGTTTGAACGGCACAAATCCAATATTTTCAAATCCGATCTGGGTCACTTTCGTATGTGGTACTGAATACATATCTGATGCTTTTGAAAGCGACTGCTGTTTGATGGTCATGTCGCATTAAATCCGTCTTTTATGTCACTGACACAAGACAGACGCCGATTATCAGCTCCGGAGAAGGCATCGCGAACGCTTCCTGGCCATCCAGTGAAACTTTTGGGAAGACAACGTGAACATTTTATTTGTTCTGTATAATCTGCAGATTGTGACAGAATTCAGCAACTATCCTTTGAAGCACCGCTCCTCTAAAACAGCAATAAGGATCATTATTCGGTTATTTACATTATTATGTAAATAACAAAATAACTTAAAGCAAAAATTGGGAAACGTAAAGTCCGAAGTCTTTATATTAAGGGTCATCAGTCAAACAATACTGTTTGCTCTGGATCTAAACCGAGCGCGTTGTGTGTGACATCTTCTTTTGTGCATGCGGCCGCTAAGAGCGTTCACACTAGAGCACGTTTGCTGTCGCATTTTATTTGTAGGGTGAACGAGCAGACAAAAAAATCGGATTTGATAAAAAAAAAATCGGAATTGAGCATTAAGACCAGTGTGAACGTAGCCCAAGTGTTTTCGGTGTTTAGTTCTTTTCCCATTTTGCTTTAATGTACTTGGTATTATTACCTTTCTGTTTCTGGAGTATAATTTAAGATCATTTTCCTATAAATCTCTTTATATGCTTCAATTTAAATATCCAGCATTGCATACCTCCTTGAGAAAATTTTCTTGTAACCTTTTATAGTGATGTGTAATTTGTAAAAATCATCACATTTTTTTAAACTGAGACATCCGTCATGCAATAATATAATGAACATTAAATAAAGATATAAAATTTTAAAGACAAAGCCAAAAGAAAACTAAAACAAAAATGTAAAAACAAAAACATAACAAGGCAAGGTAACAGCTTTTTCTCCTGTTTAGGAATCAGCATGGAGGACTTCATTTCTGGAGTCAAAAATAAACTGAAGAACAATAATGCTGCTGCAGCTGCTGCACAAATCAAACAATATTTAAAAGAACCCAGGAAGATTCCACTATATATCGCCATCACAGGAGAATCTAGTTCTGGTAAATCCACCTTTATTAATGCCTTCAGAGGCATCGGTGATGAAGATGACGGAGCCGCTCCTACTGATGTTGCAGAATCCTCAAAGGATCCTATACCATACTTCCATCCAGACTATCCCAATGTTTCCTTATGGGATCTTCCTGGAATTGGCACCCCGAAGTATCCAGCTGACAAATACCTGAGGTCTGTTCCATTTAAGAAGTATGACTTCTACATCATCGTCTCAGCTGATCATCTCACAGAAAACGATGTGAAACTCGCTAAGGAGATTCAGAGGATGATGAAAAAGTTCTACTTTGTTCATTCAAAGACAGACAATGACATAAATGTTGGGAAAAGAAAGAAAGACTTCACTGCAGAGGGGACTCTGTCAAAAATCAGAAAAAACTGTGTTGAAGGTGAGTTTTTCTTTTGTTAAGTAAACAATTTACTATCCCAAAGTTAGGAATTATTTATTTAGATTGTGAAAACTGTGGTTGTGTTATGTTTCTTTTATTACTCAGGTCTTCAGAAACAAGGCATCGAGTGTCCACAGGTCTTCCTGGTGTCCAGCTTTGAGCCTGGCCTGTACGACTTCCCTCTGTTACGTAAGACCCTAGAGAAAGAACTTGATGTGCAGAGAGATGCTCTGCTGCTGGACATGCCCAAAATCAACCAGGAGATCATCAGGAAAAAGAAAGAAGCATTTCAGTCCAAAATAAAATACTACTCTACTCTGTCTGCAGGTGTAGCAGGTGTTCCACTTCCTGGACTTTCTACTGCTGTTGATATAAGCATGATGGTTATAGTTGTCAGAGAATATGTAGCTGAGTTTGGTCTTGATAAGCCATCTCTGGAGAAACTTGCTGCCACCACAGGTGTGTCATACACTGATCTGCAGTCTGTCATTAAATCAGAACTGGTTAAAGCTCAAGTAACTGCTGATCTCATCATGAAATTGTTGCTCTCACTTGCAAGCACAGCTGCATTAATGGCAGCAGAGGAAGCAACCAGATGGGTTCCAGTAGTTGGACTTGTAGCATCAATGGGCCTCTCTTTCTCCACAACTTCCAAAGCTCTGAATTATTTCCTTAATGAGATTGCTGAAGATGCCCAGAGAGTGCTTGAAAAGGCCCTGGGTGGAATGACCAATTAATAGCATTTAAGTTCAGCGTAAACCCAAGCCTTTTCTGTGTATACTGTATTAAATTGGTTCCAAATTATTAATGGAAATCACATTGTTCTTGATAACGAACCCAGAGTTGTGCAGAGTCTATGATGTAATATGGTAAATAGAAGGTGTGTAGAACTGTTCTGTGACGTCACTGCCCTCCATTGGTCAGGAACTACAACACAAAGAATACAGATATGAACCATAATGTTTGTTTTCTGCTTGTTATTAATAAACACAAATGTGTGTATGATTTCGTTAAAAAACAAACATTAGACTGCAGGGCCCTGTTTCAGGAAGCCGGTTTAGTGGAAAAACTGAGTAAGTATACCCTGAGTTAACGAAAACTCTGGGTTTTCGGTTTCACAAAGCGAGTTCAG